CTAAAACTGTGCGGTTAATCAGGTGGGGTTGACAAGCAAAGTTGATATTGAGCAGGTATAGTTTGCCAGGGAACTTACCAAATGTTCAGGATCTTTCGAGCCCTCATAACGCAATTCGCAATCTCTCGCCTTGCTTTCTGCCTCCCTCGCACGCAGTTCGGCTGAAAATAGAAAGGGACAATGAACGGCGCGTATAGGCTTAGAAAACAGCAATTCCTGAGTGCTCGAAAGGCGATGTCAAAAGTTTAGGCTCACATTAGAGCAATAAGCGTAGAGGAGCAAATCGAAATTCAAAATAAATTGTGGATAATGAAATTTCAACTATCAAAAATCCATTTTTAAGTAAGTGCCTAGACAAGAAGTGTCTGGTTAAACGTTCTGGAGCAAGGATGAAGGGAACAGAGATGATATGATAACGAAGAGAAAAATGGTGATCCCACAAATTCTGCTGAATTCTCTTACACGAAACATGTTCTATGGACTTTGTATGGAAATAACACGAAAGTAAACCTACTGTCACACATTTTTCCGTTCACCGGTGCTTAGAATAGGAATACAGTTTAGTAATTTTTATGGTGCTAATCTGATATTTCAAAATAGAACTAGTAACGCCGTATTTGCTAATTATATGAAAATCTTACTCTACACATGTCCGGTCGCTGACTGAATGTAAAATCAAGCGGTCTTAAGCGTTATGACCATCGGAACAGAAAATTGTTCATTTTTCTTATGGACCTTATCGAGTTTAGACAAATCCTCCTTGGAAAAGCACCCGACATTGGCACTTCTGAAAATACTATCAGATTGGTAGGTTGGAATTAACTAAAACTCACCGATTTTCACGTCATTCTTTGCTTTCGCAAGATCGCGCTCTGCTCGCATCCGAAACGTTTTGCTTGCGAAATTATACCGTCTGGCAGCGTACAGGATGTCCAGAAGACGCTTTGTCTGCACTTTTCGTCCCTGAATATAGACCTTCATACGGGGATCGGAGTACAGGATAGACACGTAGGCCCTGAGACTACGCTTTTCCGGTGGCAGTCTAGGAAATGGAGAGGGGAAGTGAAACAACCAGACAGACTAATACAATACAAGGAATTAAGTAGTGCAAAAAAGATTCTTCTCTGGATATACATACTCAAAGTGAGGAGGACTAAATACGTTAGGGAAGTGGAAGTGAGGAAAGCGACCAAAGCTAATGAAATGAGGACGCCGAACCCTGTTCCAACCATGACCACAGACGGCGTTTAAGCGACTTTTTAGAGGCTGCACTGTGCGCATCTCTTAGATACATAGCGGAAACTAGGGGGCCCTATGTGTCATAGGAATTAGGAGCGCAAGTGGTAATAGTCGATAAATTTGCCAAGGGGACAACCATATGTAAAATTGGTTGCTTCACAACATATCGCACATCGATATTGACAGAAAACAATACATCAAACTCCCAAGTCAACGAAGCTTGCAAATTGGGTATGCCACTATATTTTGAAGACCTCTTGCAGAAAGCGGTTTAACATAAGAGATGTTACGAACAAATTTATCTTGCAAAGCAAATACGGGACACAAAAAATAGCGCGTTGCTGAAGTGTAAGAACATGGTCATGATAGACACAAAACATGACGACAACGGGATGACAGAACGTTTCAAACGAAGGCATGTAATGCAAGGATGTTTGGTTTAATTTACACCGACATTTACCTTTTTAGCCGTCAAAATGGGTGCAATGTAACAAAGTTAGCTCCATATAATGCTGGAAAATCTCTTCGGCGATAAGCCGAGGTGACGGAGGTGAAGGTGGAAAGCAAGTTGGACCATGCGGAATTAGGCATTCAAGAATAAATATTCAACTCAAGAATAGTACTCGAAAACCTAAAATAAGACCGCAAAAACACTGCCTTAACTTTTTGCTTCATATAAACCGAAACTGGTGCTAATTGGCTCCTGACACGAGTACATTAAACTTGTTACTGCTACTGCTGTCGCAAAATAGTGTCAGCAAAACACTCAGTTTCGTGAAACGCAGGACAACGGT